TTTCTCTCTTCTTTCTTATATACTACATCACAAACTGAAACTGTAATTATTCGGGCATTCCATTGTTCATTGATAAGTTCCTTGTGTTCTTCCTATCGGTACTTGGGTTTTACGTTTTTTTTTTCATATGTTAGCTTGTTATAGCGTTGGACTGATAGAAATAAATAAATAAATAAATAAATAAATAAATGCGAGAGTCCTAGACACGAATTAACATGAATTGTCGCTTCACCATGAGACCTTTGTTGCCCTTGGATCATCATCGCATTTTAGAACATTCTCTTAGTTACCACCAGTGATATTCGAATAGGTCCAAAATTACATTTCTTGTGAACCGTATCGCGACGATAGTGAGTTCAACTTCGTGCAGTGCTCTCTACGAACGGCACCGCGGCCCCTCTGCTCCATCCGCTGTCTCCAATACTGCATTTGGAGAAAAACCTGTCAGCTATGCGACCATCCTGTAGGAATAACAGGCTTCTCACCGTAGTGGGGAAAAGCTAAGGCTCTGTGATCAGGGAATCGGTAAAGCATTTTGCGTGCGAACAAAGCGACGCCGTTCGACACATTCGCGAACACGGTTGAAAAGATTTCTCCTGTCGTGCAGTCCAAGCTAGATCATTGATGGAGGAAGTTTTTGCTATGCCGCATTTGGTACTCTAAGGAAATGCTATATCACGGGCAGCCCCCTCAAGGCCAGAGAGTTAAAAGATAAAGTATAAAGTTTTTGGCGCTAATCGATCCCGTCTGAGGGATAAGCCCCCGCACTCGACTTCCATTCAGAATCGTTGTGGCGTAATGAGTGCGTATGTGGCCTATACAATGACTTGCGGTGGCCAGCCGTTGTACAAGTCAGTGCTTTTATCCTCCCAGTCGAGTCTGGTACCAATTCACCGACCCCGGAGGGATGGAAGGCTTGGTTGGCCTAGGCGGGCATCGATCCGGGTTTCGAACCCCTGACCGTGCGTGTGATATATGTAGTGCGCCACTTACCACTACACCACCTCCGCCTTGGCCAGAGAGTTACGGCTACCAACTACAGAACTCACTCGCTGCACTTCAAGAAAAGAAACCGAGAAGAGTTCCTGTTCATATTCAGCATAATAACCTTCGACCTCACTTCCAAAGACGACGCAGCACTTCTTACAAGAAATCGGCTAGAACACCGTCCCCCACGCTCACTATTCCTTCTTTCTATCACACTTTTGGGGAGATCCAGCACTTCGTAGCCATAAATAAGTTTGGCACTTTTAATGACCTCGAAAATACTGAGGCTAACTTCATTGACTCACAATCCTCCTCTTTCCATTGGTTCCGTCGTGGGATGCCATAAATAACAATGGTGATCATATACTTTAATGGATGAGAGTTCGAAATTGTAAAAGAATGCAAGAATTGCATAAGTGGCTCGACTTTGGCATTATTTTTTGTAAATAGAAAGCGACCATGCGGATTTCTAAGACACTTCAAAACAAAAAAAAAAAAAACAAATGCACCTCATTTAAAGGTACGTTAACGTTGTAGCCTGTTCCTTCATGAATACCTATATGATCGAAATCCGACTCTCTCAAATGTGGCCAAAAATTTCCAGCCTGGTAACGATGCACGGAGAAGTACAGCACTCTGAAAACAACTCATTGAATCGAATAGGAAAATATAAGAAAATACACCCAAAACGACAGAAGAATACGTAATTCACCGATTGTCTTCATAGAAGATTTGTTGGGTACCGTTTCCATGGTGAACGTCGAGGTCGACTATCAGAATCCTTAACATTGAAATTATCAGAAAACCATGCGAGTCACACAAAAAAAGCTGAAAATAGAACTTGTTCCTCAAGTATGGCTAATCACCTATCAGCACCGAAGTTGAATGCGGCCTCAGCAGCTTGCGCAGCATTATTGAAAAGGCAAAAACCACAAGCGGACGAGAGACCGGCGTGATGACCAGGAGGTCGTACCAAGGCAAAGCCATTAGGGATCTGAAAAAAAGAGAAAGTGAAGGAGATAAATTATACGTAGAAATAGAAATGTAAAAGTGGTAGGTCAGTACATTCCTTGATAGAGACAGATGTCGGAATCAAGGATCCCAGTTATTAACGACATGCTTCTCAAGATTTCATTCATGATAGCACCGTAACCTACGTGCTAAAAATGTTTGTGGACGATTACTAAACGTGAAAAATCAAGCACATTTCAAAGAATGCTAAATATATGGACCAACGCGCAAGGATGGATGTAGTTCGAAATTCTTAGCAAAACAGAGACTCCCCCGAGAAACGGGCTGACTTAAGAAATAGTATTGAGCAGCAATAAATACTCGGCATCGTATCGTTAACTGAGAAGTACATGGAACGCGTCATCAGCATTACAAAACCAACTTCGTTCCTCGTCTACCAAATCTCGTTCTCACAATCAGTTTATCAGACTAGCTCAACATGATCAGCGTTTATGATGAATTTTAGTTTTACGCTTGTCAACTCATAGCCACTAAGCAACCTCGAACGTCATTCGCTGAAATTTCTGAAAAAGTACGGAGAAGGTGAATTTTCTGACAGGATACTATTTTTTTACAACTTCAACGAAATGTATTCCATTGGAAAGGTAGTAAAAATGAAAATGTGAATATCTTTGTCCCAGGGTTCGGAAAGGAAATCGAAGAAGTAAAGTAGCCTCGATGAGTTAATTTTTTTCCACAACGAAACTTCTCGACTTTATTCGTATCCCACCCCCTACCCCTTTTGAATACTGCATGATAGTTCTACCCTGTTTCTAATTTCAGCAACTCAGTCGCAATATGTCTTGCAACCACTCATTGAAAGAATTTCCTCCGTGTAGCCATCATTTCTATCTAGATTGCGAGGGATTTTGTAGAACGGGATCTGTTATTTTCTTGATATCTATTCCACTCACTAAAGAGCAACGTAATAAAGTTCTGAGATGTGTCTGAACTAAACTTTAATGCAACAGCAGCGCCATCTATTATATTTTTCCATAAAATGATAATGAATGAATGATGAAATTAGATAAGATTGACTAAATTATGGACACAATCACCTTTTCCTCGACTATGCTTTCAGCGAGCCAACGACAACACGAAACCGCGGATTTCGCAACTTCCACTGAATGCTGCAAATTTATTATCAAAACAAAGCAAAAAAGAAGGGGGCATGAGAGTCACTCGTAAATGCAAAACTAACCGGAGTCATGAATACGGAGTCATAATCCTCGCATAGACGATTCAAAGCCTCCTGATTCATAGAAATTGCTTCTTTAAGTAACTTATTGACATGACCTTCGGAATGTGATTGGCGGAGGTCCAAATCGTCCAAAGCTGGGAAATCCTTAATAAGATACTATGTATGAGTGTTACCTTGAGCACTGAATTTTACTATACCGTGATATGTACAAAAATGTGTCACTATTCACCACAACCCTTCCATTCGCCAGACGCGGTCAAATCCAACATCCAAATTACTCACGATTTAATAGTTTACAAATGTTCGTTTTACTTTTTCTTAAGTTATGGGATAATACTCAAGATGTACTCCTGAAACTGACGTGTGATGGAGGTTGCAAAAAAAAAACACCCACCTCTAAATCCTGACATACATGTAGCAGTCCGCTATCGTGAAGTATAGCACGGCACTCTTCTATTCTGTTGGGACATTCTGGATGTTCCAAACATGTTGTATTTTTATGGAGGTGTTGATCTTTGTTAAAGCCTATCGTCGTCTTGTATTGCAGGGCTCCATCACTAAGCATGGACCTATGGAAAAACTTTTAGCACTACACTGAACTGCATGTAACACTTGAAACCACTTTAGGGACGAACTGGAAATCGCAAAATTACATCATAAACGGAGACAAAGGCAACAATGACCAACGAAAGATGACAAAAAACCGTAAGCAAAAGTTGGCTCCCAATGATACACAAGGCTCCATTAAGTGAGATTGTAGGTAACACGGCTATTGTCAAACCAAATCTCCTCCGCTGAGAAGGATAATACATAGGAGCAGTTTCAGAGTGTCATGTCCACATGCTCGGTTCAAATGCTTCCCAGAGAATGGTGTTCGTTCTTCGGCTGCAGTCTTCTCTAAAACGCATCTTCGTTGGCAAGAAGGTGAGAATGCGAGGATCCTCACTTCATTTCTTGGCTGGATGCAATGAAATGGGAGGTAACAAAAAGATGAAAGAGATGAAGAACTAAAGCCTTCATTGGTTGAATCCCAAGCAATTGAAAACTTCGGGCAAGTAAAGTCCAGATCTTCCTTGCAATTTTAAATTCAAATTAACATTAAAAATACGAACAGGAAAGTATTCACAGAACACAATAGACAAACGAAATTTCACGTTTCTCAAGACTTTTTCTAAGCTGGAAACTGAAGCTACAAATGATGTTGCTCCAAACTCCACCTCACAGGGCTTTCATGAAAAATCCACGTGATCTGACCACATTCTTTTGTAGCCCCACGGCACGTGGGGGAGCCAGCTCCTCCTTCTCCACTCTAGCATTTCCGAAGAAAGATACCTGGGTAGGAAAGAGGAGGACGGAACATACAGGACGGATTAATCGTCCCGTGAAGGTGTTACACAGTGACCCGAACACAAACTCGACGTCTCCAAACACCCGCCACATATACGACGCAGCAGAAATGTACGCCGGGTGAAGGCCACGAGTTGGGACGTTTGGGCACTCTGGGGTTACTGTATCACACGTTTATGGGGCGCTAAAATCCCTGCAGTACGAAACATTCGCATGTTTGGAGATGGGCGCGGCGAATCTCGTCCCGGTCTGGACGAATGCTGCGCTTATAATAGGGCGCGGATTCGAAGTAGAGCAAGTTAGCTTGAACACTTGGCCGTGATAACGCTACGATAGCGATTACTCATTGAAAATGGGTTTCATGCGCAGAGTATTCTAGTACCTTCCTGCTTTTACTTTTAACCCGACTCTTTTACCTAGGTATTCTTCTGTTTATCACTATACCAGTCGAATCGCCCAGCTTACGCCGGGCTCTTCTGCTTCTTGTGTCGAACACCCTATCCAGAGAAATGTTGAATTGAGAAAATTTTTCTCCTTCCTCGAAGTTTACATCCGCTGTTTAGCTGAGTGGGAGTATGAAGCTGAAGCTGAGGTCAAAAAGATTATGTCGTCGTAGCGTATCATCGGACCGCTCGGGTAACGCCGGGCTTTCCTGCTTCTCAAAGTTCTAGTAATCGGCACCCTACATCCATTTTGAAGACAAATGGTGCTTTTCTGAACACGAAATTTGACCCGATATACAACTTTGACACAGGACCCAAAAACAGGGAAGCTGGCGTAAGCAGGGCACCGATAGTGGTATTGTGGGTATGCCTATGTTCACGCCTGCGATTAATAGAATTGATCGTTTTCTTTTCATCTCAAGAATTAAGACCCATTAAAGGTTTAACTGACAGGCAACCATGGAATTGAGTAGTACTCACAAATCTTCTCAAACGATAATAACACCATTGTCAGATGTTGTTATCGCTGGACTTTCTTTCCTCCATGAATACTCATTAGTTGAGAATCGCAAATTATTGGCGGTCGGATAAGCTCGTAAATGATATCAAAACAAAAGTAACCTTGATTTTCCACTCAGTTACTAAACCTTACTGGGTAGTGGTCGTAATCAAATATTCGTAACCATAAATACATCGTGAATACCACAGGCGTTGAATTGTTAAATTCAGTTTGGTAAGTGCCCTTATCAGTCGCTATCAGCTCTTATCAGCCCCTATCATAGGCCGTCTACGATCCGCCATAATCCACATCACTTGCCAAACTGTCAAAGCTCCATATTAATGTCAGTTTTATAGTAGCTCTACCCTTTCGAGGATTCTCGATTCCTATCAATTTTATCAGTTCCTGGCCGGGCACCAACGTCCTCGATCCCGCCACCGCCAAAGCCCCAGTGTTCCGCTGTTAACATGAAAAACGCAGTGTTTCGGTTAAGACAGCTCATCATTAGCCGGTATCAGTGGTTATCAGCTCCCGACACCGGGTACCTACGATGTCACATTTACATCACCTATTAAGATTTCAAGACTCCGTTATTGCCAGAAAATGCACTGAAGCATTAAATTATGACGTTTCATCAGCTGTTATCACATGTTATCAGTTCCATTCTTCTACAATCGCTTCCCTTCCCACACCACCTATCAAATTGCCAAAACTTTACTATTGACATGAAGGGCGTTATAGACCCAGTGGCCCTCGCCTTCCATGGCCTATTATCAGTCCCTATCACTGGTCATCATTCCCTGTCACTAATCACAAACGGTCCCTTCACATCTTACACCACCTGCCAAGGTGCCAAGGCTTTAGAAAATACGATGGGAGCTACGGATCCTATGACTTTTGCATTTAAGGTTCCGTGTCAGTTTTTTTTCGATTCTTGTCACCTCCTAACCTATGCCATCAGTGTTCCCATCCTGTCTTCTGTATTTTTTGCAAATTTGAGTGTTCTAGGTTTAGTTGGACAGGACTTATGAATTCCCGGTCGGACAAACACACACACAAACACACCAACAGACACACTTNAACAAATACTATTAAAAATTCTCGGTTGACTAATCAGGTTGGTCTGTCATAGATAGAGAAGGCGCTGTGGTAAAGAAGCTAACGAAGGAAGAGATAGGCATCAACGGTCTCAAGATCCTGAGATCTTGAGGAATGATATTTCTTTCTATGGAAGGGAGCTCGGCAGAAACAGAACCAATGGAGCTAAGTATGCAGTGTCGCCTATGCTGTGCTACAGAAATTCAAAAAAAAGTGGAGGGTCAACCGATCGCATCCGCTTTGCCTTGGAAGAAAAAGAAATTCATTTGCGTGTTGTTAGACTGAAATGAGAAGGGTAGAGAATGAATAAAGAGCAGTGAATGAGGTAGCCCAATTCCAAATTCTGTATAGGCAAACATAGTAATGGGAGTATTGATCAAAGTAACAGTTTCAAAGTATTCGCTTCTGTCAATGCTCACTATATCCGCAACACTCGCTCCACTCCATTGACCTACTCACCACTGAGTTACTGCTTTACAGATAAGAACGAAATGTGAGAGCTGGATTTTCCATATCATTGCCTTTATCATAATCATATTCTTGCGGACGGACAGACAGACACACCGACAAACACACAAACCGACAAACCGACAAACCGACACACCAAGTTACTGCTTTATAAATGAGAGAGATTGGCGTATTCGCCGAGTTTCCTTATTACCCTTCTTCTGGAAGCAGATTTGTAGCAACTGTCACTACAAAATGTAGTCCTGCAAGTTATTGCAGAGAGCCCCGAAACTTTTATTCGAAGTGCCGTACTTTTCCGCTGCTACAGCACCCCCGTCTCCAGCAGATATTACCACACACTCGAATAATCATCAATCTAACCAACCCCCCTCCCCCCCTTCTCGCCCCACTTCAGTACCCCGCCACCTGCAGACCTAATCCCTCACAAATAAATGACATCCAAAAGTCCCCAACTTTTCGCCGCTACAGTACGACCAAACAGCTGCTACAAACACTAATGCGTGACCCCATACACATGCAATTCCTTTTCAGATTAAACTCAAGTGCATGGCGCAATCCAAAACAGAGCATTTTTAATACTTTAGGGTATCAGCTTATAGAACGAACTGAATTCAGCGGTATTTTTGGCTTCTGGAGTACTCCACTCTGAACCGATTTCTTTAGAAAAGACGAATCCTTACGGCGAGTGCTGCATAATAATCGCACCAACAAGACGAAACTACCAGCATCAGCATTTATCGTTACGATATGCTAGAAATTTACCAATATGCCATACGGCATGTAAAAACAATCTGAATCCAATGCAAACAATCCGAATACGCAGAAAAGAGGAGAAAATGAAAATGCATCCAAGTATAACTATGTTGAATCCAACGGTAGGCCCCCAACATTCGGCCCGCAAGAACCTATAGGCACGCGGAAGTGTTGATACAGAGGAGTACATCGTTGGCGAAGAAAGCGAGGAAATCCGCTCACATCAAGTTTCTTTAAAAGAAGTGAAAAAGGACGTTGTACGAGATCATAGTGAAGGGAGGGGTGTCTGTACGAGATTTAACTTGCTCTCATTGCGCAAAGAGATGATTAAATCGAGCCGACAATGTCGAAAACTGCCTTTCACTTTCGTCATGGGTCTTGGCAAGTTGTTTGAACTTCCTACATGAAAGTCTCTTGAAATAGTGTAGCCTCTACAAAGCCGTTAAAACTCGTCTTCTATAGGTGTGGCATTCCACGATACAATCTCTGGCCCCTTGTTGTGCCCTATCCAGGTCCTTTCACGACCTTATAACGGCATGTATGGCATAAGGGGAAGCCTCGAGTTCATACTATAGGGAAACCATAAAAATCATTTTTATGATTTGCCTTAAAAGGCTTTGTAGAAACTGCACTATCTCAAAGGACTCCCATGTATGAGTTCAAACAACTTGTCATAATCCACGACGACCGCGAAAGGCAGTTTCAGACAATTTTGGCTTGATGTAGTCACCTCTTTGCGAAATGGGAGCAGGTTAAATCTCTTCCAAATACCCTTACATGCCATTAAGGTCACGGTGATCTCGTACACCTCAATTCCACTACTTTTACAAAGCCTTGAAGAAGGCGGGCTTTCTCGCTCTCTTCACCGCCGATGTACTCTTCTACATCAATACTCCCGCTTTCCAACATAAAAAGGGTACCCCAAAATTATCGCGAACAGTACTCCAATATGTAGTAGTGGGACAAAACCACAGAGCTGCCTGGCTGAACTCGTTCGCTGATCCTTGAGAGTGTAAGTTTTAGGCGTGAGGGTGCTAAGAAGGTATGAGATCTCAACGTTACAAAAGAAAAAAATCTCTCCTGTGGAACCACAGAGCAGTTGGACATCGCATGCTCACGAAAACTGAAGCGAATGTTGAGTGGAAAACATGTATAGTGACTTACCTGCAGCATTATACTTTGTAGGGACCGTCTCTAGAAATCCGCGTGCAGAAGAAGCAGGATATTAAGAGAATGAGGACGAGCACGGAGGAAGAGTATTGACACGCTTGTCTTTCGTCTATGGCACGTGCCAAATGTAAGCTGAACTATATCTTTGATTCTCCCCTCCCCCTAATTCATGCGGTCTTTACTTTTTTTTGACAATTTAAATACTTTATTCAACATTTCAGATAGCATCGGCACAACGTAAAAGTGGTTCTTCATCAGGTGATGTGGTACATTAGGGCCTTCTTAAGGCAAAACTATGGAAGTAAAATAAATGCGACAAGAAACATGGCTTGGCATGTCTTTTTCCATGCTTGCTGCTAGACCTCCTTCAATCTGCGGTAAGACTTTATGCAGGCCTCGGGCTCGGGAACGCTTCATAAAGAGGAATTAAGCGGATTGAGGTCCATGAAATCATTCATTAAAAGTGATGACAACGAAAGTGATGGCAACTGGAAATCCTTGTTGCATTCGGTGTGTTCAGGCAGAAGTCCTGTCGGAAGCACAATTCTCACTGCCAGACGGAGCCTGAGCTTAGAGCAAGATAAATTCCCTCTGAATGTCCAAATAAAAAGTTGCGCTGACCTATATGCATTCCGTAAGCAAATACGAGCGACGTTTTCCTAACACTATTTACTCCAGCACTAAAACGGCACAGCTTTTGAGTTATCAGAGTGAGCAGCTGTCGCATTCGGCTTCGATCTAGCACAAGTGCGACTATTTTGTATGCTTGAAGATTGTTCGGAAGTAAAATTCTGGTGGATAGCATATCTCTCGACTCTTGATAACCGCAGCAAAATCGTTGGAGAAACTCTGGCAACGTTCCCTCCAGAAGTCAATAACCATAATTTTCGGGGTTGTTGGAGGTGATGTTCATAGCCAATCAGATAAAAATTTAAAAAATCGTTCTCAAAAACGGAGGGTTCATGACATTTGATGATCTTGCCCTGAGAGAGTGAACGAGTTAGTGTAAAGGGGAGGTTGCGATATTGAACCCAGTTTTCTAACCCTACGTTCGATTCCAAGTCAGAAATACATGATCAAAGCGTAAGTTATAGGCTGATCTGGCTGGTAACATCTATATTTCTATTTCTGAAAAATCCATAGCATTATAACATTGCTCAGTAGAGCTTACGTTCTTTACCTGTGCTGCCAAAAAGGATGGCACAAACAGTATTTGATGATGCTTACAACATCATCATGCAGTCTCGATCTGATGTTAGTAATCATCCTTCGAGTACTTACTTCGGTCCATTTATTTAGTCATTCGACAAGCGACACTCTTACAGCTAAGCGAACTTTTGATTGAGATACACCCCTCAATCTCTTAACTCTACCAGTCACCTATGTTGTCGAATGATAAAATCTTGTAGCAACATCATCAAATGGCGAGTAGTCGTTGCTCAGGAATTTTCAAATTTTTCGTAAACACCGTGGAAAACCAAGGGCTGTTACAAAGCCAATCGAAGTTCCCCACTCTCTATCTGCTATCATTTTATTTCATACCTCATCTATGATCCGGCCAACTACATTGAAGTAGCAGAGCTCCACTGTTAATGAGGAAAGCGGACAAGATTCAGTTGCCCTGCATATTAAGGCCCATTATCAGCCCTTGTCAGCTCTTATCAACTCATTTGATTGTAGACTACAATTCTTCCCCACCCCACATCGTCTACCATGCTAGGATTCAACTACAAACGCGAAGATCTTAACGGAACCAGTAACTCTTGCCTTCTATGTCAACTTATCAGCTCTTATCACTGGTTAGCAGTTTTTTCATGAATCATCTTCGACACCGTCGTACCTTACTTCAACTTCCAAGTGCCAAGGTACAAATGGTAACATGAAAGGCGTGACGTACTTATTGGCCCTTTTTCTAAAGCCTCTTCTCAGCCTTTATCAGTTCTTATTGCATTCTTTTCACCAAAATTCAGTAACTGTCGGCTTTGCTTCATTAAAATTCAATTCTTTCGATGCCCAGCAACGGAAGTTATGAATTACTGATCAAACATAGCATAAATACAAACACACAGTCATACACACCTATCCAAATACACATACATATGTGTATACATACACACACATCCACACATACACGCAAACGCGCAGACACATTAGATACGGTGATTTGGTTCCCCCAGTGGGGGTCGAAAACTGATAAAACCTAACCATTCACAACAAGAAAAAACGTAAATACTTCATTTTATGAGGAATTCGTTTGCGGTACGACTCATTCGAAGCACGAGTTGGCGGACGTAATAGTTGCTCTGCTTGATGAGCGTGAGTTTCCCTCATATTCAGATTTGATTCGCTCAAGCTATTCGGAAAGGGTGATGTTTAGGCAGAGTGTGGGTTCTCCCTTTACGCAGAGCACCTTGGAGGGAAGCTTGGCGGAACAAGGTCTCCTGTTTGTGATTTGTTGTACGAACGAGCGAGACCAGCCTGGCAGAAATTGACAGCACATGAGAAGCAGGTACTGACTTTAAGCGCTAGTACGATATCGTAAAAAAGAATTTACATCAGATTTGGACCAATCGTGCAATGGAGTTGGCTCGGCTAGACCCCAGAAGGAGATGCTTTGACGTGCAAAACAATATGCCTAGAAATGGGGAATATGTGTGAGTTAAGGAAATAATGATAATAATGTATCGAGGAGTTTTTGCAGAAGAACCTGGCCCTCAGCCCATGCGATTACAGAGAGTCCAGAATGTAGCTACATATGCGATGTTGCGGTGTTCGTGAAAATAGCTGATATGATAGTCGGACGAAGGTATTCCTTCTTGTCCGCAGATCCGGTTCGGTTGAAAACTATCATCGAGCCATTTGTCAACCCATTGCTACCGTTTCGTCATGCTAATGGGGGTACACGATGACTCCGGCCCTCACAATCACCTGACATAACTACTGCATGTTCTTCCATGTAGGGATGTCAAAGGTAAAGGTCAAGGAAGGCAATCAGCACATCATACAGGATTTCCAAGATACACGGGCACATCTTATTGGGACGGTCCCGATGTTCTGCACAACGTCTTCAAGAACTTGCAGGAATGGGCTGAGGTGTTTTTGGGCAAGTGGCACACTACCACACACACATGGTCCGGGTTCGATTCCAGCATCAATACTGGCCAGGCCAACGAGACTTACATTTTCACGAGACTGGTTAATCAGTACCATACGTGTCTGGGAGGATCAAAACATTCAAAGCCTTACCACGAACCTGAATGGTAGTCGAAAGCGGAAGAGAGCTCAATAGAACGCGGGTTGATTGGCGATGAAGATTTTAACTTTTATCAGAGGGAGTCACTCCTAGCGTCTCTTACAAGTTGCTTTCTTTACCATAGTAATCATCTTACCACATACACCGCGCTAATGTCTGTGTGTGTGGCGTGTGGGTGCCGTGTGTGTGGCGTGTGTGTGTGTGTGGCGTGTGTGTGGCGTGTGTGTGGCGTGTTGTAATCGTGGTTGTAAGATCACAATAAATAGCAGTAAAGGCACGATCGTGCCTCGTGTAGGTTGAGAGGATGGCGCACAAGGATAGCACACTTCTTGGGATAACCTCGGCAAAAGAAATCAATTACGTAGTCATCGAATTGAAAAATCCATATTTTAGAAGGATGAGGAAATTGGCGAGTGGTATCGGTGAAGTAGACATGCAGTTGTCACAAACTTCTTCTTCTTTCTTTCTTCCTTCCTTTCTTCCTTTCTTCCTTCCTTCTTCTTCCTTTTTCCTTCTTCCTTCCTCTTTCTTCCTTCTTTCTTCTTCCTTCCTTCTTCTTCCTTCTCCCTTCTTCCATCTTCCTTCTTCCTTCCTTTCTTCCTTTCTACTTCTTCCTTCTTCCATCACCTTTCTTCCTTCTTCCATCTTCCTTCCTCCTTCTCCCTTCTTCTTCTTCTCTGCAGCATTGATCCCGCGCCGTCTCAGGGTCCGCTGTTGTTGTCGCTCGTCCCCACTTCCTTCTATCCGCGGCATTTTCTGCCGTTATTTTAACATCGGCAGGTCCATCTTGATCACGTCCCGCCACCTCTCCTTTGACCCTTTGGTGCTCATCGTGGCCGCTACTTTTGTGTCTCGAACTCCATTGGCTTTTACGTTTTCGTTTCTAATCGGTTCCAATCGCGTCCAAACGCACCCCTTCTAAGCATCCTCATCTCAGCGGAGTAGTTGTCTTTCACGATTTCTATTCACGGGCCAGCACTCGCTGCCGACCTGCCTTTTGAGCGTCCAGGAGCACCGACAGTCGCACAGGATACCGGTGGGCTCCCCAACTTCGTCCATGCCGCACGTAATCGGGATTTTCCGGCCTGCTCCACGTTACCATCAGCGGCTAGATCACACTCCAGGTATTGGAAGTCCTGTACCCTTTCGATGACACCCCCGAAAACGTCAATGATTGACTCCGTGCACGCATCAGAGTTGAGCACTTGGTTTTCTTTACGTCAGCCGGAGTTCACTATCCGCCAGCAATTTCTGTCATTTCTGCAGCTTGTCCTGAAGCTCTTTCTCCTCTTCGCTATCAGAGCAATATCATCAGTTCAGAGGATGGTCTCCAGTGGTCTATTTGGGTTCGTTGTGATGATATTCATTGTGAGTACAAAGAGGAACGGACTTGAAGTTGGTGCCCCCAACCGTGGCGTTGCTTCGGTCAGCCGCATGGAGTGCGTATTCGTGTGGAACCATCGTTCATGTTTTAACCAGGGGGATCAGGCGTTCAGAAACGTTTTCCCTTGGAGCGCTCACTAAAATACTTGTCGTTTCTCGATACCTCTAAATCACTTGTCTGTTATGAAAATAGCATCTGTTGTGGACCATTCTGGCATGAAATCGATTGCTCCCGTAAGATCTGAGCGAGATCATTTAATCGACCAACCGCTTGTGCAGCTTAATAGTGTGAGCAGTCAGCTTGATCTCCGTGTTGTTGGAACACTCCATCGCATTGGAAGGACGGTGCAGCGTCTCCACGCATCTGAGATTCTTCCTTCAGTGATCACAGTGTTCAGAAACTGGGTGAGCATCTGATCCCGTGCTCTCCAAGCGCCTTCTAGTCCTCAATGGGGACATCCGGTTCGGTTGTTTTTGCAGCCTTCATCTCCAATCGCCCTACGAAGCTCATCTTCAGATCACAGTGCGACGCGACTCACCGTGGGTCCTATTTGGAGTCTCTTCTTTCAGTAGTACTCTTCGTTTGGAAGCCTGTCGAAGGAATCTCTCCACTTGAGGCTGTCCTTAGGTGGAAAGATTACTCTTGGCGAGCCCTCTTGGAAGTTCTGTAGGCGGCTAGGTCTTTTGAAGGTCGAGACTTCTGCCAACGCTTGTAGGCCGCTTCCTTCTGTCTTTCTGCCTCACGATTCGATGAACTTAATCGTTCCAGAGCGATGCTACCTTGCCTCCTCGGAATCCAGACTATTTCCCAGCCTTTTCTCGCCCATTATAGGGCAACTTCCACAGTGTCGCTTCAGGTCTACCATATCGGTCCTACAGGATCTGGGAATCAGCTTCTAATACTCCCGTTTGAGTTCCTTTCTTTCTGCTTGGTGCAACCTCCATCACTTCATCATCATCTATACTCTCCTCCGTTCTAGTCCTCGATTGCTTGAGAAGTTCTATGACTATGCCTATTAGAAGAATCCTATGTTGCGTAGCCAATTTTTCTTCAACCGGTACCTTGATATCCTTCGCAGTCCTGAGGGACGATCTTCTTACGAGCACATGATCTATCTTCATCTCTTTCCTTCCACTGCTGTAGGTTACCTTCTGAGTATTGCTTTCCGCAAAGAATCTGCAGACTACCAAGTCATGATCTATGGCAATCGAGGACTCTTTTCCCTTCTTCGTTTCTCACTCCTATTCCTCTACCTCAGTGTACCTTGCCACTCCCCTTCTTGAAATGCTGATGTCCCCATTCAGATCACCTCCTATGGTGAGATTATACCCTTCCGAAACTGATCTGATGGCATCGTCGAGGCTCAGATAGAACCCATCTTTGTATTATTAAGGCAGCCGGCTTGTGGTGCGTACACGGATATCATTGTTTAGTAATTTGACATCCCCTCCGATTTCCCTGGCCTTTGCTCCTTTCCAACGAGTCTCTTGAAGGCATGGACTTGGATGTTCCTGCGCTGCATCACATCAGCGACCTCTCAAGACTTTCCACGTGAGCGATCCTTCGTTCAGGGTTCCAACTAGAACTAACTCCTTCGACCGAGGTCGCTCATTCCTTTTTAGTCCCGCATACTATCCATAAGACTCGGGCGGAGGGAGAGGGTTTTGTGGGCCACTTTGGGATGACGCCCTTCATCTTTGGTTTCTTCTGAGACTTTTGACATGATACGTGATTGTTGGTTTCTCCATCAGCCGGCCTATAAAAAACTGGGCCTGACGCTAGAACCGATTCTATCTTTGAAACTTCTGCAAGGCATAGATTTTGCCTCGGCAAGGATCGAACTTGCACTCTTCCTGAGGGAAACACTTATCCACCCGGCCATCCCTGGCTTGATTTAAAACTACTTGGGGTTCGTAAATTAGTGAATTGGGAATTCCACTACAGCGTACGTGTAGACTCAGAGGATCAGCGGTTCATCGATTCTATTCCTCAGTTCAAAGTTTCAATATTAGCAGCGGAAATATAATAATTTCGCACTTCTAGGACCTAGCTTTTAGTTTTGGTGAGATACAACTTAGCGGGTAATTTGTGTTCAACCCCAAATTCACAACTCATAAGGTTGAACCCAACTCAAAACGCGCTGTGATTTTATTGCATATGGGCGATTTTGTCTTTATATCATAATATGCTTCGTTGCCCAGAGACGCAGGTGGATTCAGGGGATGGACTCCTTGATTNGATTACGCCAAGAAATCGAAGATCAGGTGGGCCGGACACGTTATGCGATATAGTGATGACCGTTGGACCAGGGCGGTTACTGACTGGATCCCTCGGGACATCAAACGAACACCAGGAAGGCCGCCGACGAGATGGTCAGACTTCTTCACGAAAGCTCTGAACGAAAGGAATGTTGAACCTCGTGTCCCTGAAGCGAGAACGGTTCACTGGACCACTTTGGCTCGTGACAGGGACGAATGGAGACGTTACTGGCGCCCGCTCGAGGATTTCGATGATCAACGGGACGACAGGTGATACAGGTGATACAGGTGATGCTTCGTTGTTATGTTACCACCTGTATTTATATATACGTACCTCTGTAAGAAAGGGGTGGAGAAAATGTTCTAATCAAATAACATATTCAAGTACTTCTGGAGTATCCTCTAGGATACATTTAAGCTGAGTCAACTAGCTGGTCATGAGGTGAAAGTCACGTTTCCGAAATTTTGTGTTCACCATAGTGAGACCATGGGAATCAGCCTGTTCAAAAATTCGCTCATCATCGTCGTTACGTAATTGTAGGCAGCTCTCGTAGCGCCAACCTGCGCCAACAGTAACTTCAACTGTTCTCACATTGAGCAAGGTCCAGAACTCTTCCTTTATTCGCTCAGAGCAACCAGTCTGTGCAGCGTATGCAGAAAAAGTGAGATACGGTCGGTGTTCAAGGTCAAGTGCGCTCTTTATCAGTCGGTCGCTGGAGTTCGACATCCAAAATCGAGTCCCGTAAACGCTCGAACACTAAAACTCCGACACCTCTGGTGGGCCGGAGCTGCCGCAAAGAATGGCATCTAACAATAAGCGACAGCCAATGTCCCTCGATTTGCAGCAGGACCATCTCGTCTTTTGCGTGGCGCAGAAATTCATTCGTCTACTCCAGCGCATCTACTAGCTCGGAAGAGCAGCCAATAAAGGTTCTACATTTGATTTCGCAACGCGAGTATTCCATACATTGCGGGACTTCTGAACTAGCGTAGTTGCGCTCCTATACCATCCTTGTAGACCCTCATATACTCTTCGCAAACGCCGGGCTAGGCGAGTGCACGCCGTGGACTCCACTCCCGTGGATGCCGTACGATTACCGTGACATTAGGCGACATGAACCATTTTCATTTGACAAGGGTGTTTGTAGGTTGGCCTCTCGCGGACTACATTCCGACGAAATAGATGTCAGTGACTCTTTTGCACCACAGGTCACTACAAATGACATCACATGCACTTTCCTATCAAACAAGGGAACAGGAGTCGTAAACTTCTGGTCCGACCCTTATTCCACGCACGCCCCTTTTCTGGCCATATGATACCAAGTGTTTGAAAAAGGAATGTCTGCAGAGCATTCCGACGTTGTCACTGGGAGGTCATCACGTATTTAGCTGGTATTATCATAGTTATCAAGCATACGTTTCCAAAGAAATTAGGATATGTGGCGACCAAGAAAACAGTAAGCAAGGGCTCAAGCAGATCTGATAAATGGAAGGACCATGAGGTCCTCATCTCAAAGACCTAGAGTCTTCTGTCATCAATCAGTTGCGTCTGAGGGATGCGCTCCCGCATTCGACTTCCATTCTGAATCATAGTGGCGTATTGAATGCATAAGTGGCCTATACAATGACTTGCGGTGGCTATCCAATGTACAAGTCAGGGCTCTTACCTTCCTAGACGAGTCTGGTACCAATCAACATATTCCTAGGGGGAAGGAAGGCTTGGTGGACCTAGGCGGATGCCGTTCCGATTTCAGACATTTGTTTCATTCACGCCCGCCTTTATGGGCGAGGTGCAGTCTTGCCGTCCTCCTCAGTCAAACCNATTGATGGCTCATGGGCAGAATACAAGCAGGTACACAATTCGGCGTTTAATAGTAGCATGGGATGGGAGGGATCGCGCCAAACGACTGCCTCCTCAGACTTCTGAAGTAGGAATAACAAATACGGAAAGAGCACTTTTTCCACTCTTCCTGAATTACCCGAGAAAGGAAGAGCACTCACAATGCATTTTTTCACATATGCGTCCGAAGCTCTAAGTTATTAATCGCTGTCATTCGGGTTATGTCTATGTCAATCTGCCTTCAGTTCACGAAGACGCCGGAGGGCTGAACAGCGCTCGGAAGATTTCCGTCGCTTACCTTTAGTGGCAGAAGATGAAATAGAAGAAGACGAGTTTTTTACTGTTGGACAGCCAATTAATACAACCGAAAACGGTGAGGAATTCATTGCATTGTACATTTGAAGTAGCCTTCCTATGGCTGTTCCTCCGATTTGCAACACTTTGACACGATTTTTTTGACTAGCGAACTGTTCATTGTGATCCAAAAATGTTGCGTTGATGTGAATCTTTCGAGAAAATTTCAGAAAGTGACTGTCTCGACCAACTTCTTGCTGGCAAATTCGATGATGACCGCAAGAAGGTCCGTGAGGCTATTCTCAGTCAAACCGATGGATGTACAGAAAAAATCAAGGTACCACTTTTACGTGACCTCACCTAAAATACACAAGTATTCACACTTAACTGTAGAAGCTTCGGTGAACTTGATGATACTTCGGGGGCAATGGGCAAGATGATTTAGTTGGGCGAAATTTGGATGTGATACCGATGGTAGCTCATCAATCAAGAGAGAACTAAACGAGTGCTGTTGATGAGGAGCACTTTCAGAAGACAGATGAGATAGAAAACATTTTTACAGCTGCTTTTGAGGGCACAGAAAAAAAAATCATGTAGAAGGATATTCAAAGAATCGCCCAGTAATATCGGTTTCTTAGCGCTCTTATAGTTTGCGCTACCCTTGTTTATATGACTGCTTTCCCGACCTTTCCTTATCTCGCTCGGTCACATTGTCAGAAAACCGCATTCCATTTTCTCCCAACACTCCCTCCTTTGTGCATGTGTTCCCTATGGGTCGGTAGGATTTCCCATTTTCGTGATAAATGACCAACCGCTCCACAGGTGAAGGTGGTTCCACAGCGTAGCGCCTTACCTTCCTCGTTGCTGAATGTGTTGTAACAAGGGTGTTGTATCAATACGTCCTAAGATCCCCTTTATCTTTCCGGAGCCCTTCAGGAGGCGCTTTTTCAGGAACTACGTTTCCTCTTGGCAGCTGTACAAACGTTTGGCAATGTAGATGGAATGTGTCTTATGGCCGAATACGCTATGAATGAGTTCAACTTACGAGATGGAGTAGTCGATAGGGTGAGAAGTGACATGTTTGCATGACATCTCAAAAGTTCCTATTTTTCCGCCTGCAGTTCTCTACACTTGTTGGCCCTTGGCAAATTTCGAACGACATCCAGCGGAATCGAGCGGAGTTCCATTCAAACGAAACACATCGCATTCCATTGACCATCGCGTCAACCCAATATGACAAAAGACAGGTGGGCTGACTTCTATCACATCAGTGAACACCTTAGAGATTTGTATCACAATGTTATTCCTCAGTGAAAAGTGTGGCGTTAAACACAGGGGAAAACGCTAACGTACCGGGGGCAGGTCTCGGCTTCCCTTCCTCCTTCGTGGCAACGGCGTCTTTCAGTGCTGACGTAACTATCCCTCGAGTGGGAGCAAGAGGGAACGCCGGTCTCACTTATGCTGCCCGGGTAGATAGGTCTACCCTTTATCGAGCAACATCATTGCGTTGCCAGGCTGTCCTGACCAGCTGCCAGCAGCAAGCCGAACGCTGATACGGCGAAAGCGCATTGACCATGCCATTCAGAGGAGGGCGCATATCGTTTGCGGCGCAACCGAGCGAGGTTGGGAATCCGTAACTTCGCTTCCAAACTCGTTCATCAAGGGAAGAGATAACTGTGCTCTGTTGTCTCCAATGATTCGCTCCGACCAAGGCATGATAGTTCCTATCTATACTCGATATCGGTTCTTTTCTGAACAGGATTACCTAATCATCAAGGTGACATCGCTGTGGATAGTTACTAAAACCA